ATGCAACAAAGCTTAGCTTTCCATGAATTTTAAGATGCTAACATTTGTGTGTTACGTTAAGTATCGGTAGTAGAAGAAACTATGAAAGTAATAACTAATAAATTTGTATCAAAATCTAAATATGATTAGGAAGATGAAGTTGATGAATTCGTAAAATTGTTGATAACCATTTGAAATAATATAAATGTTAAAATTCTGTAAAGTATTTGGTGCATCCTGGAATGAGAAGCGTGTATACAAATTTGACACGGGCAGGACGTGTTAAGCGCAAATCGTATAATGCCTTCATTGCTGTAGGATTTGATTTTTTTTTAATTCAATCAGAAAACTCTGATAGCTTTGCAAATGTAAATAAATGCATATCGAGCAAAGATACTTGTGCACTGGTTACCGAGCGATTCCACAGCAGAACGCATGCCATAATTGGTGACTGTTTCTTACTGTAATATGCTCTAGTTTCTGTCTTACTGTGTGAAGGACAATGAGGGTCAGGATATAGACAGTAAAATTACTGCCACATTTTTTACCGGATTTGCAGTTTAAATAACATAGACTTCACTAGAGGGGGAAAGGGAAAAGGTGAATGAGGAGCTGCATGCGTAAAGAGAGAGACCTGTGTAAAAGAATCATATCAAGGTACTCATCAAAAACAATTGACTACTGAATGAGTGAGGGGGAGGCGATGGTTGTTGCCTGTGTAGAAGTTTTTGCATGCTATTGGTGTAGTTACTGCTCAATTGGCCAGTTCAAATGTTACCAGACTGACAGCATGATCATGACAATGTGCTGTTGAGCAGGTCTTGGTAGAACCAGGAACACCACAAGGATCTAATATTATATCTCAAATGCGATCTCACATTTTATGGATGGAGAAAAGGGTAAAACTCACTTTTCGGGATTTGCTTGGAGTGGTCTGGTTTATTCCAAGTTGGAATGTGAATTCTTAATGATCTTTTTGCTTTGTTCTTAAATGCTTATTTTTAGAGAAGCCGCAAACTAGAAGGTGTATCTGGCAAAGATTCTAAAGCATTGACGACACTAAAGAACGGGGTATATATAGTTGCTCCGGTAAGTGTTTTAAGTTTATGATGATATAATGACTTAAATAGATTGGACTACAGTTTTCTGTCTGAGTTGATTTACTCTTTTTTTTAAAAAAAATTGCAGTGTCCACATGACGGACGTTGTCCTTTGGATAACACTGGAAAATATTGTCATTTTGTTCAACGCTTGCAAAGGACAACATCGCAACGTGCCTACAAGGTTTGCCTCATATTCCTTTGCCTCCTAGATGAGCTCTCTGAATTTGATGAAGTCTCTTCTTACCCCCCTCAAATCTTTGCATAGGGTCAGATATATTCTATTATAAGTTCCCAGCTAAGAAATTGATCTTGGTGGCAATATCATCATTATTGTTTTCTTCTGTGCTTCTGGAGTGAACTTGCCTTTTTGGTTTGTACTTGCGTTTGAATCATGTTTTTTAACTGATGCCATTGTCTTGTAGAGGTCGAAAGGAGAGCCTCTACGTGGCTTTGAAGATGAAAAGTTTTGCTTCATCGCTTTTAGACGAGGAGAACGGCCAAGGCAAGTTCTTCTTCAAGAATACGGAATGCCAATCGTTAAATTGTTTTTAGCTTGTTAAATCATTACCATTGTGAAGTGAAATTTCAATTTTTTTTAATTTTTATTTTTATTTTTTTGCCATCTTCATATAATCACTATTGAACTAATTTCTTGTTTCAAGCAGAGAGCCTTGGCCGTTGGATAGTATGAAGTTTGAGACATTGAAGGAGCAGCATGCCAGAAGAAATCCAGAGGATTTAGAGATTGACTATGGTATTTGCTATCAGTTTAAATCTCAGTTTTGCTTTGCCATGTAAAAACTGCTACGTTCATTTAGTACCTGCTGTTAACACATTACAAAGTAGTGACATTTCTCCTTTTATTTCAGAGGACCAATTCATCTCAGAAGATGAGGATATTCAGGATGAAGTAGATCATGCCACGTATGATTCCGATGCTACAGAAACAGATGCCGTTACTGAAAATGATGATTGGGAGGAAGAAGGTGAAGAAAAGTCCCATGCCGATCTTGGTGGTGGTTGGGGAAGAATTATATACAGTCCTCTACGAAGGGGTAAGCGGATTGAAATGGACGTTTGTCGATCAATGAATCAAGAAGGCAGTGAAGGGTCATTTGAACGGATTGTTATTACAAAGAGCAAAAACCCAACATTGCATCATCAGGCACGAAGATCGCTTTGGGGTGACTTATGGCCCTTCTAAATTTTGTTAGAAAAATGGCACTAAAGGTTTTTGGTCCATCAGTAAGAGCCTTACTAGTAAGACCAGTGTGTGATGTGTGAGTTAGGCACTCACCGTGAGTTCAAATCTCGCAACAAACAAAAGCCTGGTATTCAAGTGGAGGGGCACGTCTATTATCCATCGAGTCTCAAACTATGCTTCACTTTCCCTCAGTTATCAAAGAAGTTATTTTTGTTAGAAAAATCTTAAAAGTATAGTTTCTTGTGTCCTTATGGTAATGTAATAAATGTATTTTCATGTGTACCCATTTTCTGAAAAAGAAGAAAAGTGAAGTCAGATGGTTATTCTGGTAATGACAGGATAAGATTGGGCCAAATGGCTCAAAATGTAAAGTTACTGCGTACATGTGAACCACATATGCCTTATTCATAGTTCTTGTACTGAATCATGGAACAGTAATACATCAATGTGTAAAAAAGTTCATGTCACGTGCCAGCTTAGGAGATTAGATCAACACTTTTTGTAAAAGTGTATCTTACTCTGGTGAATCGCAGTTGTTTGGTATGATGTACAAGAATAATGTTAGATATAGTGTGTCAATAATGATGAGATTATTATGAGAAAATGATCAAAATGGTCTTTGATGTATTGGGGTTGCTTTATTTTGGTCCTTAATATATTCTAGGTGATTGAAATAGTCCTTCATGTATGATAAAATGTGTTCAATTTAGTCTTTTATCCTAAACTTCACAATTTATCCCCAAAAATTGTTAAATATAACGATGGGACCCACATTAGCTTACAAAATTCACCATTTTTACCATCTTTATTAGCTCAAAGAAAGAGTTACATGAATTCTAAAACACCATTTTCTCTAACATCTAACCACACAATTACAAAATAATTCTAAAAACATTTTCATTTGTACCTAGCACACCATATATTGTGGCTGCTCTTTTATGACCACACGTTTTATTCATTTTTGTACCTTTGTCTACACGCTAAATAATTCTTGTCCTTGTGTCTTATTGTTATTATTATTATTCCTATGTTTTTGGGAATGACCCCCTTAGACCATCTCCAACCCACCTCTATTTTATTTTTCATTCTCTATATTTGGAGAGTAAAATAGAGAATGGGCTCTCCAATCACTTTTTAATTAACTCTCTATTTTTCATTTATAGACAGGTGAATAGTAGTTCTCCAAATTTGGAGAACTACTATTCACACTCTCTATTTCACTTTTTCATTATTTTATTATATTTCTATTATTTTGTAATTAACACGTTATTTTTAATATAAGGTCATTAATTAAATATCTAACATTCGTAATTCTTTTTAAATGTAATATGACATTTTTAAAAATATATTATTTGATTTACACTACTTTCATCGCGGATTAATAATATTTCAATTTTTTAAAATTTTCATCACTTTAATATAATTTGATATTATTATTAATTTTCACTATGAAGAATGCACAAAAGTAAAATGATAAGATGAAAATTTTAACTAAAAATATAATACATAACATAATAATTTAAATATAAGATACAATACATAATAATTTTATCGCAACAATAATTCAGTAATCCGGTAGGTCGTTTTCAGATTTAACAATATTTGGAAAAAAATTAGTGTATGATCCAGAGAATTGTTGCGGTTATGCTCGTTGATTTATGTAATTTTTATGCAATTGTATTTCATTGATGATTTCACTTTTATTTGAATTGTCCATTAATTTGTATATTATTTAAGAACTTGCAATTTATGTTATTTAGAAATTTAGAATAAAATAAAATTTTATATTACGTAAAAATTATATAAAGTGATTATTTGAAGAAAAAAAGAAGGAGAAAGGATTTAGAAATGACACACATATTAAGGCAACAATGATTAGCATAGTGAAGTTACAATTTTGCCCTTATTAATTATGATTCCAAAATAAATTTATTCAAGATAACTAATCAATGTTGGGGGAAGTTTAAATTTTCAAGAAGTTTAAATGAGGGTATAATAGGAAATTTTTTTTTGTCCTTTCTTGATTTGTCAAAATGGACAAGTAAATAGGGACATCTAAAAGAGGAAATATGGACAAGTAAATAGGGACGGAGGGAGTATGAAATAAGGAAATGCAAATGAAATAGAAATAATAATATAATATTAAGGAAAGAGAAAAAAATCATTTTTAGAGAATAAATTTGAGAATTGGGTTGGAGTTGATTGTCTGAAAAAATAGAAAACTCTATATTTGGAGAGTAAAATAGAGGGCAGGGTTGGAGATGCCCTTACTACATGATTGATATTTTTTTATTTTATTTTTTAGAATAATTTTCGTGCTTTATTATCAAATAAATTAGAGTGGATGAAATGAATTCTCCTCATTGCTTCATTTAAGTTTAAACTATATCATCAATATTACATCTTATAAGGATTTAGGATGTTTTATACTGAATATTTGTGATTCTCTTTTATTCAACTTTGAGATCGATAATGTGTAGATCATAATTTTTGAAAAAAGAAGATTTCTTTTACGTGTTTAGGATCTACTTTTTTTTTTTACCATAGTTACAATACTTTCGAGATATCGCCTTAAAATATTTAAAAAGTCTCTTCAATTTCATTCTTGGATCCTCCAACAAAATCTAGTCATAACACAACAAATTTGAGCCAAAAACTAAAAAACTATAGTAGTAGAAACTAAACATATATACATTCCTAGAAACAAAAATCTAAAACTTACATTAAGAATTTTTGCTCCTTTTGATCTTCTTGAATTTCAGAAAGAAGTAGAAGATATTCTTCATAAACTTTTTCCACCATATTATCATTCATTTCCACTTTGTTTGAAAATTTGCAGCTTTCTCCCATAAGAAATTCATCAAAAAATCCATCCCCTTCAAGTAATTCACCAAAATCTAATTCCCTTGGAAATAATTTCACCTCTTTTTCCTTGTCTTTTCCAACATCAACTTTTTCAAAATTACTATTTGAGGAACAAGTAGTAGTACTCAATGTATCATTTTCAAAACTATTGTTCCTTAAAATCCCACAAGAAATCCTTATGGGCTTTGGTGCAAATACTTTAATCTTCTCAACTTGTACAACTTGACCCTTAAACTTCTCATTGTTGCTTTTCTTCCCCACTTTTTTTCTTGATTTCTCCTTTTTGGTAAAATTCTTGTGGGGTTTTGGTTCAATTCCTGTGCTTTTGAGCTTCTTGATTAAATGCGTATTCCAATAATTCTTGATTTCATTATCTGTTCGACCGGGTAATCGTCCGGCAATTAATGACCAACGATTACCCAAAAGTGAATGTAATCTCACTATAAGATCTTCTTCATCTTCACTAAAATTTCCTCTTTTAATCCCTGGCTTCAAATAGTTCACCCATCTTAGTCTACAACTTTTTCCACACCTAAGCAATCCTGAAATATTTTTTTCTTATTATACAAAATAATAGTCAATTACGCTAACGAGCAAGAAAATAGATATAAGTACGTATGGTACAACAAAAGTTATTTTTCATGTTTATAGAAAAATCAGTAGTCATTCCCTAACGAATCAGAATTTTCATAACATAATGTACTAATTAAACACACAAATTTAAGAAGACAATAAAATTTAATAGTTACTATATATATGAAAAAATAATTAAAATGACTTACATCGTACCAAACATCGAAAAAGGGATTAGAGAAAAGAAAAATTACCAGCATTTTTAGGCAAAGATCTCCATTGGCCTTCACCATATTGATTGATATAATTAGTAAGTAATAAATCTTCTTTAGTAGACCATGGCCCTTTACGTAATCCTTCTTTAACACAACATGGTGCTCTTCCCATTTTTATGTTTTTTTTTTAGAATTTTTTTCAGAACTAAGAAGAAGTGAAGATGGGGTGCGGTGTTGGGGGTTGGAGAGCAAAAAATTAGGAGAAAGGTGATCTTTTCTATGCCACGAGGTTGAAAGTACAAAAGCATTATTATTATAGAATATTCTTGCTATCGTAATTTATGTGTTGTTTGATTTAATACGGAGTTTAAGAAAAAAAGATTATTTTTTAAAAAAAAATTATGGTTTAATTAAAACCACTTATAGATGTTTGTGAGACTATAAATCATCTTATTGGTGACTGACTAAAAAGAAATGTGTGACACATAAATTGATATTGAGAGAGTAATATATTATAAGGGGTCGTTTGGTTATTAGGATTGGGATACTGATCTCGATATAAAATTTGATATTTCGTCTTTTCAATTTGTTTGTCTTGCTTTCATTTTCAATCTATTTCAAAGAGATTGCCTCTTTCTTTTTGGCAATTTTTGAATTTAAATTTCGTCTTTTCAATTTGTTTGTCTTGCTTTCTTTTTTCAATCTGTTTCAAAGTGATTGCCTCTTTCTTTTTGTCAACTTTTGAATTTAAACTTTTCACATGACATATCTAATACGACGACATTTAGGTACTTTTTACATATTTTTAAATAGTTTAAGATCACAATATTTTAAAGCTATCTTTACTATCTTAAACTATATATCAAGTCAAAATTAAACAAACAAATTATAACGAAAAGAGTTTCATTCATCTAAACCCGTGTTTATTGATGATATCAGTTAAAACCATACAAACAAATTGATTTAATAGGTAAGAAAAGAAAAAAATAGTAGTATTTTAACACACAAAAAATTAGGAAGTTTTTCGATATTTCAGTGATATCTGTTTTCCATGATCATGTGTTTTTCCAATGAGCTGTTTAGCTTGAAACATGAGTGAGAAAATCATGTTTTATAACACAAATTTTCAATGAATTCACAATGAAAAAACCTACATTTCTAATAGTGTTGCCACATAAATATCTATAAATAGTATTAAATAATTTACACAACATGTTAAAACACATTAATAATGTATGTATATAACTTAAATCCTTATGATTATTGTAGTATGAATAGAATTTAAATAGTAAACACCATTCATCAATATAAATAGTTGTTAACATCATCAAATCATCTTTGTTCGTCATACTTGATAGATAAATTGCCTCATATTCATGACTACAAACTCATATTCAAAAACACTTTAGGTGATAGTATAATTTTTTTTAATACTAACGAAATATATAACTTTAATGCTTACCTTTTTTTTTTTTTTAATCTAGCATTTGATATCAACATTGAAACTTAATTGTATTTAAATTTACGCCGCATAGACGGAGGAGAAATTAATAGAAAAGTAAAGGACAGTCCGATCAAGTTGTTTCTTATTAATTGGAAACTTACATTCAATCATCATGTCGGACACCTTTTTAAAAAATACACTTTTTATAGAGCGCCAATCACATGCTAGCCAAAAATTGTCTATGTATAAAAAAAAAAAAGATGGTCATTTTTACTAGTTTAGTTGAAAAATATAATTTTATTATTTTATCAATATTATTAAATACTAATGTTTTCTAATTGATGTTGATGAGTATCACTAAAGAAGATCATGCTATATTTACGTGATAAGCTTTAACTATCTAATAGACGCTTTAAATCACACTTCTTTCTTTTTCTTTTCAAATTTGATTAATTTATCATCTTCTCTTTTACATCTACCAATTAAAAAATTAATATGACATGTTAACATCATATTAAAGGTGGAGAAATGTTGAATCTCAATTAAAGATGGAGAAATTTCAATCATTTCACCATAATTTTTAATTAAAGAAATACATTTTTTGTTTCAATTTATATGTTACCATTCAAATTTTGAAAGTTAATTTTTAAATTTTAATAGTATATTTGAACATAATTTTTTTTTAATTGAATCGGAACGGAAAAGTAGTGAAAGTGGTTGTATAAACAGAGAATCTGATCCACCTCTGATAGCCAAGATGTGTCAACGTCAGTAAAATATTTTAATTCAAAAGGAACAACTTGATCTAATGTTTATGTTGTGTTTAGGTGTAAAATAAATAAAAATTATTTATTATTTTTTATGAGTAACTTGAAGTGAAAAATAGCTATTTTTAAATATATATTTTTTGTGGTTTTTGGAGTTTCTGAATTTTTTTTGAGGAAAAAATAAAAATATTTTGGATTTGTATAATAAAACGTGTATGAAATGTCTTGGTCTTTTTTTATTTGTCGTCAAGTCCAAAAGTTTCAAGAAAAAAGATCCCAATTAATAGTACCCAATAGAACCAAAATTCATCCACGTGCATGCATGTGCTATTATTAAACAAAAAAAACATGTTACTACAAATAACTTTAACCAGTGTAAAAAAAGAAAAATTTAACCTATAGTTCAATTTTCGATCAGGATTTGTCACATTCATGATAGAGAGCGGACAGATGAGGATGAGTTAAAGAGGTGTGAGAAAATCAACACGTTGTGATGTTAAACAATCAAACTCCTCCATTGATGAACCTTAATTCATATGAGAAAGGAGGAAGAAGAAGAAGATTATGGAAAAGCTATATGAAGATCTGCTTAATTGAAAATGAATTAAGAGAGTAATTATGACATCTGAATCTATATATAGATTAGGGGTGGGCATAAATACCGAAAAACCGAAAAATCGAACCAAACCGAAAAAATTCAGTTCTTCGGTGTTTCGGTTCGGTGTCGGTTTTTTTTTCGGAACTTCGGTTCTTCGGTTTGGAGTTCGGTGTAAGGTTCCCGAAACTACGGTGCACCGAAGAATCGAAGTTTTATTAAATAAATTTAATAGTATTTATTATATTACTTAATTTTTAACTTTGCTTGGCCCATTTCAATTTTTATATTTAGATCCTAAACTTAAATAGCAAAAATCTTAATAACAAAATAGTAAACCCTAAAGACCTAAAGTCTAAACTAAACAAAACTCAATTTAATTCAAGTTTGAGCAGCAACTTGGTGTTTCTACTTTCTACTTTATGATTTTATGATTTTATGTTGTTACTTTGAAGTGAGAACAACAAATTGATGCTCTTACCTTCTATTGTTAGATGGTTAGTCGTTATTTTGAAGTTTGAAGTGTGAATTGAATAACAATTGTTACTTTATCATTTTCTCTCTTTATTTTTGTTGACACCGAAAAACCGATTTAAAAATACCGAACTAAACCGAATCGAAGTAAAAAAAACCAAACCGAATCGAACCGATCTAGTTTGGTTTGAAATAGGGTGCACACTTTTCTAAAACCGAATACCGAAGAACCGAACCAAAATTTGATTAAACCGAACCGAAGAACCGAATGCCCACCCCTAATATAGATATACAAATTGAAAACTAACTAACAAAATGAAAACAGACTTCTGACTTCCTATAACTAACTCTAACACTAACAGTACTATAAAAAAACTTGTATCTAACTAACTTTGTGAATAATGAACAGTAATAACTAACTTATATTCTCATCACCCCTCTCAAGTTGGAGGTAAGTGAGTTTACAAACAACTTGTTCAACAGTGTATTATGTTTAACTCCAGTCAAAGCCTTTGTAAAGATGTCTGCTAATTGTGAATCAGTAGAAATGTGATGAAGTGTAATCAGGCCTTGCTGAAGTTTATCTCTAACAAAATGACAATCAATTTCTATGTGTTTTGTCCTTTCATGGAAGACTAGATTTTTGGCAATATGGACTGCAGCTTGATTGTCACAGAAGACCTGAATTGGCAATGAGCAATTCAAAGATAGCTCATTCAGTAACCTTTCAAACCATACCAACTCACCTACTACTTGTCTCACAGCCCTGTATTCTGCTTCTGCAGAGGATAGAGAAATTGTGGCTTGTTTCTTAGACTTCCAACTGATAGGGCTATCACCCATAAGCACTAGATAACCATTGACTGACTTCCTTGAATAAGGACAGGCAGCCCAATTTGAGTCACAATAGGCATTTACAGTAAGGTTAGGCTTGTTCGAGATGAAAATTCCCATTGTAGGATCTTGTTTCAAGTATCTCAGAACATGATAACTAACCTTCAAGTGTGGTTCCCTAGGAGTTTGCATGAATCGACTGAGATGATGCACACTATAAGTTATATCCATCCTAGTATTTGTAAGAAAATTGAGTTTCCCTATCAACTTCCTGTAATGGGTAGGATCAGACAATAGTTCCCCATCTGTTGCCTTCAATTTCTCAGTATAATCAAGTGGTGAGGTTGCAACTTTACAATTAAAAGAGTCAAACTCCTTCAAGAGGTCAGTGGTGAATTTTCTTTGTGAAATAAGAACTTCATCAGGCTTGTACAATATTTATAACCCCAAGAAGTAGTGCAATCTACCTAGATCTTTTATCTTGAACTGATCATGCAAAAATGATAGAGTTGATTTCCTCCAAGTCAGTTCCAGTTAAGATCACATCATTTACATATATGGAAACAAACACTAAACACTCTCACATTCTCTTAAGAAACAGTGAGTAGTCACTATCTGAATGTCAGAGGTGTATCTAGGATTTTGTCAAGATGGGTGCACGAATACGAAAAAAATGCATCTTAAATATAAATTTGATAAGTTTGACTTTTAGGTTCTTAATATGAACAATTAAATTTTTAAAATTATAGGTCCAAAATATATAATACTATTAATTTTAAATTTTAATATACACATTTGATTTAATTATATAAAAATCTTATAGTGCAAAGTTTTTTAGGAACTTCCAATGTAAGGCACTTGAAATTTTTGAAAGGTTAAAGGAAAAAAAACAAAAGAAAATTAGTTGAAACGTCAAAAGTATAACGATAACCACTTGGGGAGGTGTTACTCAAAAGGACAAGATGGATATACGACTTAAATTTTTATCCTTACTTAGAGAGGTGCACTCAATCATTATTGTATTATTATATGATATTTTAAACGTGGATCACACATCTATATTTAAATATTTTTTTAAAATATAACACTATTATATATGATCTAGAGAGG